CGTAGGCAATTACATGATTTATTATATAGACGATTACATGAATGATTACTGATTAATTACTAGACATAAGTATAATATAATAATAATTACAGACTTAAGAACTATTCTAAGAACTTTAAGAACCCGCCATTTCTTCCTCGAGCGCAAGCAATTACCTGAGACAGCGAGTACGAAAGTCCGTTGGGGTTGAAGCCGTAGTGATATTTTGCGGTAAAGAGTTCCAGAAGTGGATCCCAGTGACAAGGAACGACTTCTGATAAGTGACGGTGCGGGTACTGGAAGGGTATAGCCTATCTGTCCGCCAGGGATTTCGCCGTCGTGCAATATCGGATCTTAGACGCAGTTGCTCAGCGAAAAGACCTGATATATGTACACAAACAGAGGACTTTATAAAATAGGCGGCCAAGAGTAAGGTGCCGACGATTTCTCGGTTGAAGCCAGCCAAGCCTTTTCCTGTGTTCCGAGATGTGAGCTGATCTTGGGAGACGCAATGAAAAACGCACACAATTCTTGAGCGCAACTAACAGCTTCTTCTCTAATCCATCAGACAGGTTGGTGAGAGCGGTAGCTCTATAATCAAAAATCGGAAAGATTAAGGCAATGACTTGGCGACGTTTTAATGCTAGATCCAAATCTTTTCCGGTCATATGAATACGGTATAGCGCTCCGGCGGATTTTTTGCAGACAGTAGATACATGATCAATCCAAGTCAAGGTGTTGTCCAGGGTGATGCCGAGATAGCGAAATAGTGGAGACATATTCGATCTGTTTACCTGATGGATATTCTATCCAGAAACAGCAGGAATAAGTGTAACAGGAATTCTTCTATTCCTGGCTGGGGTGTATTTTCCGAAGAAAATGAAGATATGTACGTAGGAGACAGGTATTTCTCGAAATACGACTTGGTTCCGAGTCGTGAACCTTCTATTAATGTTTCGACAGACGTCCTTTAGGACGGTCGAGACGTCTGGATACCCACTTTGTCTCGGACACCTGTTGTAAGTCGTCGAGAATGTATGCACTAGGTGAGAAATATTTGCTACGCATTCAAGAATCCAAGATCCTTTACAGGGATAAGGATTGGTATTTTACATCGTACTTTCCTTTGAGAGGAGCTTGCGCCGGGTGTCTGCCATCCCCATTCCATAATAAGATTTCTGCTCGTCTTTTCCGTGAAACGGAAAAACTAGGGGATTCCTAGAATGAGTAGGTGGAAAGGATCTCCGCAAAGTTAGCCCCTCACTTCGACTATGGACGTTTTCTTTCTTCCAATTAATTGGCGTTCGTTTGTTGATATTTGGTTTCTGGTTTCCATTTTCTTGTAATACCTGCAAAACTAAATTCGAACAATCATTTATCGAGCCAAACAGAGTTAACCAATCACGTATAGCAGTTGGATGGAAAATGACCAACGAGGCTGCTTCACCCTGAGTAGTAATAGATCCGCTATGGCGAGACTTGGGGGCTATTTGTAATGTCAGAAATGTCAGCGTACGTTTCGTAGTAGCGATTGTCTTGCTAATCATCTCACACGAAACTCATATGCCAAGTCAAAATCTATATGTGAAGCAACAGAAAATTGTAAATATTGCGGAATATCAATCATGACTTTCTCTGGAATATTTCCTATCCATGGGTCTTTCGTATACGCGTATGTTCAAGGCAAACTTTCACAGAATACAAAGCAAGACTTTGACCTGGATTTTTTGACCTGGCCCTCCGTTATAACGGACACTATCGTTAGGGCTGGTCCTTAATAAAATTCAAAATCTTTTGTTAATTATATTCGTCCGTTCACGCTATGCCGAGCGCCGAGCGACGCATAGGAGCTCCCCAAGGAGCCACGGTGCGCTCCAAATTTTTATATGCGCGTCGAGTCGGTTAATGGTTTAAAACTTGGCCAATCCTACGAATTTCGACTTGTAACTTCTTACACGTATTCTTAAGACACTAAAGAATAAAATACCATTAAAAAAAAGATTTTTATCACCCAAAAAAAGAAAATCCCGCCTTAACCCTTTCGCTACTACAGGCAACTATAGTCGCTCTCCATAAGATACCGCGTAGGTATTGTACGTACGACGGGCGTCTGCAATTATTGCACGTCAACTATCTCACTCTGGACATGCAGCGTGAGTATTTTGTTTTGCACCAGTTGTTTATTACCGACCCCTATCAGTCTCGAGACAACTGTCCGATTTACAAAGTGTGTAGTATGTTCAAAAAATGACAAGAGGATCGCAACACTATACCAGCGCGAAGTTTGCGATGTTAGTCTATGTATAACATCGTGTTTCGAAAAATACCATACGCAATACCATTATTAAAAGCTATTATAATCATACAATTATATTATATTATTATATTATATAATGTTATTTGTTCTCAAGCCGTAATTAAAACGGTGCATGTTAAAAAGTTATAAATATCCTGTTTTGAGATTAGTTTTTTTTTTTCGAAAACACCGGCAAATCAACTCGAGTCGCAGTGAGGCGTGAGCGCGGTCTCTGGCCATCGGTCGCGCGCATCGTGCACAGTTTCGTCGCGGCGAAAGACTTTATCGAACACGCATCGTAACCAGTTTTAAAAGAGAGTCGTCTCGCTCCGAGGCACGCGCTCTACGGGGGTCGCACGGGTAACACTCGAACGTACTATAAGGTTAACGAGGGAGAACAGATTCAATACCTCGATGTTAACTCCCTTTATCCCACTGTAAATAAATACGACAAGTTTCTCGTGGGACATCCTGTAGTGTATACATATGTATAGATGAGGAGTGTAAGCCGGCGACAGGCAGTGATAATAATTATATTGATGCTTCTTAAAGGTAAAACAGGAATCTTCGGGTTGGCCTGTAGCGTGCATCGATGAGGAGAGCAAAAAGAAGTATCTAGATGATTACAAAAAGGCTGAAGGAATTACACTTTATCGTGATAGCGTAGCGAAAAATTTAGGATTGCGAGCCGTTGCAAAATTATGTCTAAATTCATTCTGAGGGAAATTTTATCAGCATGAGAATCAACGAAAAGCAACGATTGTAACCGATGGTCAAACATTCCTCGAAACAGTTAGTAATCCTAAAAAGGAGATACTTAGTGCTCTCCCGGTAAGCTAAGATGTGGTATATGTCAACTGGTGTAATGCAGATGATACTATCGAGACCTCGAAAATTACGAACGTTGTGATGGCTGCGTACTCAACAGCTCAGGCTAGACTACGGCTGTATGTTCTCCTTGAGAAGATTGATAGACAATTCTTGTATTAGGATAGGGATAGTATTATTTTCATTCGGTCGGACGCTCCTGATTCTAAAGATTTAGAAACAGGGACGAATTTAGGCGACTTACCCGACGAATTAGAATATTACGGAGAAAGTAGCTATAATATAAGCGAATTTGCATCGTGTTGTCCCAAGTGCTATGCGTACAAAGTTGAAACCCCCTAAAGGTGTTACCAATTATCATATCTGGGATTATGTTTTGGAACTCCGTACCTAGCAGCATCCGTGAGATAACCGCCGTGCCACTATTCAAAAATGCGCTGCATGCTTGGCTTCTTAGCGTTTAAACTACAAACATATATATATAGCTAGCGTAGCTTACTCATGTTAGCGCTATTATTACTATTACTATTAATTATATTTTTGTAAATATGTATTATTTTATTGGCTTATTATTATTATTAATTTTCTTGAACATTGTTCTGTATCTTATACTTCCAGGGCAACCTGCCCTAGTATAATAAACTATGGTCTCTCTCTCTCTCTCTCTCAATTATATTTGTAAAGTTAAGGTTATAGATTTAGCTATGCAAATACGAAAAGCATCAACTTGAACACATTAAAATCTTTTGCAACTACTGGCATCTCGCCCGATGGAGATAAGGAGGTTGTTCCTTCTTATAAATCCTTAAGTCGAAACCCAATGCACGATGTCATTACACGAAACGAGACAAAAACGTTTAAGAGTAATTTTGTGAAGCGACGATTAGTTGATAACTACGATTCAGTAGCATATGGTATGTTGTAAATTTATGTAATTTTAGACTATGGTAATGTCCTATGACTATGTATACTTTTTAAGGAATAATAAGAATAAAGTGTTCACAGTCTGTAACGTCTTCCTTCTTAAACTGGGCATACACGAATTTTTCCCAAAGCCGTTATCAAAACCTGCACCACCCTCAAAAAAAAAACCCTAGGACTTATTGCATTAGCCATTGTAATAAGGAAAGAAGGGATATTCATATTTTGTTCCACTGCGTAGTAGGGGTAGTCCACCCATTTCTTACAAATATCGAATAGAGACACAGTTCAGTATTAGCTGGAAACATCTCAGAGTGCCATTACACGAAGTAACCGAAGGATCAGACAATGGAACGCGATAATGCGATAACGCGATTTTACATCTTAACCCTGTTACATCCCTCCTAAGAGATTTCATGTGTCAGGAGTTTCATTGGGCGAATGAGCCTGATAGAGATTTGAGGGTCCTACGCAGCATTTTTCAAAATGCAAAGTTACAAATAATAGTTCAGTGGCATAAAAAGAGTTGCATGAATCATCCTGAGATTGTGCAACTATGTTACGAAATATTAAAGATTCATGGTGAAGATCATGACAAGCGAGTGCGGATAGTTAGGAATCGCGGTAAGCGGTGTCCAAGTGTTAGCTCTTGTACTTCTACTTCTGTGTCTAATAAAACTTGTATTAATGCCATAAATTTATTCACAGCTATTGAAATAAAATCGTCTACGACTGTCGTGACAACGGCTCTCATTCATGAGCAGCCAGCATCACTATTAGCATTGCCACCATCGCTGTCACCTCCATCGCCATCATCATCATCATCGTCGTCGTCATCATCACCACCATCACCATCATCTCCGCCACCATCGCCATCATCATCGTCGTCGTCGTCGTCATCATCACCACCATCACCATCATCTCCGCCACCATCGCCATCGCCCTCATTGTCGCCAACACAGCCACCGCGACAAAAATGTTCATCATCATCATCATCATTACCACCACCATCATTTACTCCTCAACCACAACGAGGTGCGAGAAAACTGTACGAGGATGAAGTAAAGTCTAAAAATTGTAGGTTCTACAACTGTATTATATATTTTTTAATAATAAGAATTTCATTTAACACTTATTATTCATGTTTATAGTAAAAAATCCTGCAACCTGAGCGAAATAGCCATTATGCGTCAGCAGCTGGACTCTGTGTGTGCGCAGCTTATGATCCTGCAGGAGAAGCTTTCGCAACCACCTGTAATTACCATCTTCGACGATGCCGAGGTAACAATTAAAACGGAGCCTGTTTCGCGAAGTTTACCCTCTATAGAGGAATCGCTTGTAACCCCTAACGTTACTACTACTAGGGATTGCAATCCGGAAAAACGAATCCGGTATCCGGCGGATCCGGCATCGTTAAACGTTTACCGGATCCGGTACCAATATACTAGATCCGGTGACCGGATCCGGTAATAGCAATTTTTGGCAAAGTAATAGTGCTGTTGCATCAGTAGGTACTTTTAATACGTTACGCGTTGTGTGCAAGCGTGCGAGTCGTTCGACGCCGAGTCGCCCCGGCCCACCACTAAGAAAATGCATTTGAAAGTAAAGGAATTCGAGGAGAATACTTATCTGCTATTCATGATTATTTGCTGACAATAAAGTCGACAAGTGTAGAAGCTGAAAGGGCCTTTTCGGCCGGCTATATTTGTGGCTCCATTAGAAGTCGACTGGCAGATGACACAATTAACACTGTTTTCTACGATTCTTTTTTCAAAATCAAAATTGATTTTTTCATAATGTATCCTAAAATAATTATTACTTAAAATACTACTTAAAATAATTATTTATCGTAAGTTGATTAAATTAAAGAGTTATAATTATGATACAAGCTCATTATTGTGATAATTGTGCCATTCATTAGACAGATTAGTCAAATGACGGTACCTTTCTTCGATTATTTGCATACGCACATCGCGCTAATATTTTCCAATATTTCTTTCCTGTGTCGAGTGGACCATGTTTATTGCATCTTGCGGTTCTCCTAATGATGAAAGCTTATCATCATTCACTCTATAGACAATTTTTACAAATCGTTTGGAAACCTAATTTCTTTTATAGCCCATATCTCAACGTCAATCCAGAATCTCACTTAGGTGCTACCCTTACGATTGTGGGTTAAAGCTCTTTGTCTATGCAACATGTGGCCGATTAGGAGCGCCAGAAATATAAATGTAGAAATAATAATAAATAAATATAGAAATATGAATGCTCCAAAAATCCTAGCCACTCGTTGCAGTTCTTTTGCAAGATTTCAGAAAATTTTCTTTACACAAAGAATATCTCATCAATAGGACAAATGTCTCAACGTTCACAAAACTTTTTTCACAAACGATATGGATTTATCTTTCAATTTTCCTCACAATGGAAATAATAAAACCACTGTCTTTGCTAAAAGATAATGCGTCGTCTAAGTCATGAAATCTTTTGCCTAAAATGTTAAACCACCAGCTATTTTGACATTACGAAACACAATATCATCGATTGGTCCATGAGGATGGGCAAGATCTACTTCAGCTTTTTCGTCACGATGTGGGTTTGTCTTTCAATTTTCCTTTTTACTTTCCGAAATATCGTTTCCGCTGATAGTTTCATCACTACCGCTTAATTTTCGTACGGGAAAATTTTTACCTCGAATTTTGGAACGAAGAAAGAAGGGGTTTCGATAACACCCTTTATCAACCCCTGTGCATTTTAATATTGTATTTATTGGACTACAGTTAAGATTTACAAATATATACCTATAGTATCAGCCAATATTCGCTCTATTTTTGTGTTTAGGGTAAATGCTTGATTTACAGGTGATGAGAATAAACTGATAAAATATACTAATTAATATCATAATTATCGATTTTATTTTAACAAAGCAAGCTTATACAGGGTGCACAAGACATTATTATATTACGTAGAGTTCTCTTCTTTTTCAACTGCAGCATGTTCGATGCATTCTTCGTAGCGAGAGGAGTACTTTATTTGTTGACGCTCCGAATGCCTATAACAGCTAAAGAACCACAGCATCGCAGCTATGCGAGCACAAAATCCAACAACACGTGCTCCAACCTTGCACTGGCAATACCAAGATGTAACTCCGGTGTGATTACATTGTATCCATAGGCTGTATATTTTTGATGAAGTGTGTCGACTTTGGATTAGAACTCTTATAATATAAGGATATTCTCTCGTTCCTCTAACTATTAAAAGAAGATCGGAGGCTGTTGAAGTTTTGGAAAGGAAATATAACTAAATCAGGCAATCAGTACATTATCATATATTATCTAAATTTCAATTAATTAATATTTTTCCATGAGCGCAGTGTAGTAACACGACAAATTCATGTATATGTATAGTAGCTTATGTATTTGTGCACCATATATGTGAAAATCGTTTCGTTACTCGATTGCGCTTTATGCAAAATAATTACATAAATATCGCAAAAACTACAGAAATGAAGTATTTTTGCAAAACAAGCCAAGCTTAGCAATTATTTTCATAAAGGTTCTATCAAGTAACACAAAAAGTATGTCTGTGTTTTTAAAATCCTTATATCTTTTACATCATACAAAAATAAGAATGATCTTGATAATAAACTTCAAAAAATATGATTTAGGGGGGCGGATAAAGGGCCTTATGGAAACCCCTCTTTACGGTCGCGAATCTTTTGGGACATTACATTTTGAAACGAAAAAATTTCTCGCTAAGCTTTCGTACGGACAAATTTTCACCTCGATTTTTGAAATGAAAAAACTTCAAGCGCAAAACTTTTAGGACTCACCCCCACCCCTACTTAATCCACCCCCCAAGTCTCGCTAGAACGGATCTATTATTACTACACTGTTTAAATGACTACGTTTACACGACGGTCTTAAACCAATGGCTTAGTTTCCACTATGCAGAGTTTAATCAGAGTTAGCTAATCACGTATAAATTCGATGGAAAATGACTAACGAGGCTCCTTAACCCTGTTTAAGATCAGCACGATGGAAATTTAACCAATGTTTGTGTCCAATCAAAATGTACCATGGGGGCGAATACGTATAAAGAGCTTATGGGCTTTGCACATCAAAAGCAGCGGAAAGCGAGCAGCAGGCAACAATCAATGCGCAAGATACTTCGGGTCTGACTACTTACGTAACAGGTGTATACGCTTTGCCCATTCATCGTTGATTTGCTGCTCATTACCTGCTGTCTTTGACGTGCAAGGTGCATTAGGTTCCACCATGCAGAACTTCTCCCATTTGCACCATTAACCTATTTCAGGAAAGCATCCGTAGACGAGCGGATTATTCCGCGCCTGGTAATAGTAGACAGTTGCGGCGTGCAGAATATTCCGCGCTTTGATACAAATGAGTTAAACGGACTTAACCAATCACCTATAGGAGTTGAATGGAAAATGGCCATCGAGGCTGCTTAACTCTGAACTCTGCACGGTGGAAACTAAGGGCATATTCCGTAATTGAACCATGATTGCGGTTATTAAATTTCAACCAATTGCATCGATTGATTTTGACTGCTGACAGAAATCAATCGATATCATTGGCTGAAATTTAATGACCACAACTGTGGTTCAATTATGGAATATCCTAAGATATCTTTTTTTACCTGCATTCAATAGATCTGTTCTCGTTACTTACACTTTCTGCATTTTTCAAAAAGTGCAAATTCTCACTGGTTACTTAAAAATATCATCCGATAGGAACTTGCAATTTTTTAAAAGTACAGAAAGTGTAGGTAACGAGAACAGACCTATTAGGATGAGTTACAACCAGATATGTACAGCTATGCTCGTAACACTGCATATGTTTCCACCGTATAGGGTTGGAATAGAGTTAAGGTAGCTATACCGCTTCACCCTAGTCAAATCAATGCTAAATTTCTAATAATATTTTTAGGAGGAGGTAATCAAGTAACAGCATTAGTTCTTAATATATAAGTACATTCGCAGCCGTGATTCGAATAGAAAATCAAATATTATATCCAAATGTTCGATGTCATATTTTGTCGTGCAGTTTTTTTTTTAAGAATGAACCATAATAATAGTCCAATTATGACGAGTAATATCTCATTTGGATTATTGGGAAATCTTTAATCGATTGACCATCGAAATTTGGTATAATATTAGTTGTTCAAAAGTTACAGCCACTTGTATGCATGATATTAGGTTAGGTTAGGTAATCAAACGGTTGTATCTTTTGAGCTACTAATATTATCTAAAGTCTAGATCGCCAATCGATTAAGAATCTTCCAATAATCAAAATGAGATATTGTTCGGCATAATTGGACTATTATTATGGTTTACTTTTTAAAAAAACTGCACGAAAACACATAACATCGGACATTTACATATATCAGTCGGCTTTCTGTTTGAATCATAGCTGCGAATGTATTTATGTATATTAAGAACTAATTCTGATACGTGAGTAACTCCTCGGAACTATTAATTAAACCACCAGAAATTGTAAAAACGTTATTAAAAATTTGACTAGTGTGAAGCGGTATAGCTACCTTAACCAATACTATTTGCGTCATGATTCTACTTAAGTTTCTGTCATGGAGACTACACAAGGAGCACGAACTCCATGTATACAAATAGCTTCCCAAAATAAGAGGGCACTAGTGTTCTGTATGCACCGAAAAAGTCGAGGGGTATAAGGCGGGAGTATAAACACAAGATTATATTTCGATGTACTTCGAAAATTATAAAATAAATAATTTGGGCTACTTTAACTTAAATAAACAAATAATAAAAATTTGCAAAGCCAAATTAAAAAAACAAATGATATTAAATAAGTAATAAAAAAATTATTATAATTAAATATAAAATTCAATTCTTTAAATGAAATTATTATTAATTTAGTAATAATTAATTGATTAATCAAAATAGAAAATTAACATTAAAAAATACTTTCAATAAAAATTATTATCATTATGAATCATCGAGGTTTTTAAATAAAGTTTATCAATTGTTGAATTAGACATAAGATAACAATTTTAATAAAGAATACTTAAATGAATTATTTATATATATTAATAGTATATTACGACCCTAGGCCAAAAAAGTTGGATTTCCTGACTTATGCGATATAAAAGCCAACATTATGGAGTATTTGGAGTATGCTGAAACAAACTTTGAGTGCCAACGACAATATCAATGTGAATAATTTTTTAAATTTAAGAAGTCTTATAAAAACAAATGCTAAAGGTTACAAACCAAAAAAAGCTTTTGTTCTTAGGTGGGACCAAATTATGAAGTTCATGAATGAAGCTCCAAATGATTCATTTTTAGACAAGAAGGTAATATAGTAATTTATATATTTTCTTCTTATACAATTTTTTT